AGGGCTGCATGCAGGAGGTGGGGTGGGGGGTGGGGGCTTTGGAGAGGGGAGTGTTGAGTGCATGTTGCTGAGTAATGACAGGTACTGGTTTCTGTTTAGGATGACCCAAAACATTTTGGAAATAAATTGTGGTGATGGAAGAACAGTATTGTGAATCTAACTAATGCCATTAAATTGAGCACTAAAAATTCTTACCCACAATAAAAACAAAATATTAAGAGCCTCCAGCTACAACACAAAGGGCTAACACACGCACTGCAGAACTCCTCGCAGCATTCCTGACGGCGGGGACGAGGTGTGGAGGTGGAGCTCACGAATCTGCACGGCCAACACGTGCACCAGTGCCGCCAGTCCACTGTGCTCAACAAGAGGAGAGGGACATCTGTACCAAGGGGCTGCTGGAAAGGCTTCTTTGCTCATAAAGAGACAGTATAATAAATGGCCCTCTTCCTCGGAGCCATCTGTGACAAACATGTACAACACCTGCACCTTGTAGTAGTTACATGTTGGGCTGCAAACCACAAGGTCAGCAGTTTGAAATAACCAACCACTCCGAGGGAGACAGACAGGGCTTTCTACTTGTATGAAGAGTGACAGTCTTGGACACTCACGGGGCAGTTCTACACTGCCCTATAGGGTGGCTATAAGTCAGCATCGAGTCAATTACAGTGAGCTTTTGAATTCTGAGCAAATATGGCTGGAAAACCAGTGCTTTTAATATGATTTCATTTTCATTAGTCTAAACTGAAACAGTCACCTATGACAGGTGACGACCATACTGGACATCTTAACTTGGAACACCTTCAGGGGTGACTGTGATGGCTGGAACTGGTAGTACAGGCCCCATGCCATTAGCCTGAAAGAGAGATTTCACACAGAACAGGGTAGAACCAAGAGAGCTATGAGGACACAGGGCCACATCCTAACATTCAGGGCCCCACTTTGGGACCGCTTGCCATAGAGACAATCCAATTCCTTATAGTTTGACAGTGTGAGCAGGAGCTCCTTGTTTCTGTGGCCAAAGGGAATCTGTGGGGAAGATGCAGGCACACATCCAAAGACACCTGCAAAGACGGTAGCATACCTGGCTTCCCCGTGAACATAGAGGGCTTTACTGGAAAGGAGGCAACCAGTTCTTTAAGCATCACAGGTATGGTCACACGCAGGGAAGTGCCAGCCTGCTAAAGAAAACACCTCAGAGGACAACTTTCCGCCTGTCCCTAAGTCCCAGGAAATACCTGGGTGCACTGCTGACTCCTCCATCCCAAAGCGCAAACCAACCTCAGGTGAAGCAGTCCATAGGTCCCTGGCATGTTGCCTCTTCCAACGTATGCAAAGACCCAGCCACGTAAGAGTGACTTACTACAGTACTTGTAGTTCCATCATTAGCAATCACTGCTGTGAGTTATCTGTCCTCTTTTAAAATTCAAATGCTCCCAGGAAAGGTTACCACTTGAAACTTTGACATTACAGTGTGAATAAGTGGGTTAAATAGTTGTTAGATCATTGTTCCTTGCTCTTAAAGAGAAGAGGGAGCCTGAGGAGGACAAGGCATGAGTGAGAGAGACAAAGGGGTGCACTCAGGGCTCACTCAGTCCACAAAAGCCCCACTTTATTCTTGTGCTGACCTTCACTGCTTACCCCCATGTACTTATGCGGTGGTCAGTTTGGTGTTCATCTTTCCAGAAATCCTATCATTTAAAAGATGTGTCTTAAAGCACGCAAAGCAGGCAGAACAAAGTTCTACAAGAGCATCATGGTCCCAGAAGAGTTCTCCCTGAGCATCAGATAGGACATCGGTTTCTCCTCCTACGGTTACTTACTTAAATGCTGCAGGGCAATGAATGATGTGATGTGGTTCTTCTAGCCAAAGTCTCTAACTCCCAGCAAACAACTTTTTCCTGCATGGGTCTAGTAAGAGACTTGGGAGAAGAGACTGATAGGATTCACTGGTAAATAATTGGAAGCAGGATTCCTTGGAATGCTACCCTGCTGCTTATAAAAGAGTCCTCAAAGACCATCCACTTGAGGCTCCACAACCTGGAGACAGAGCTGGGACAAACCAATCCGAGGGGAACGGAAGGAGAAACCTGCCAGAAAATCACGCTCAGACCAGGGGCGGGAGCATCTGCATTGTGGAAGAGACACTGATAGTTCTGTTGGTGAGTATGGTGGGTGATTGGGGAGAAGGAACCTCCTATCAGGCAGGGATGTTCAACAATGATTGTAGGAACCTAGGGGGACAATAGACCTGGGGAGACACTACGAATATGTTTCTATCCAGCTCTTGGTGAGCCACGCCATGATGACCTTGGACGCTAACCTTGCAGGCAGCATGACATAACCCAGGGACATCACCAGGAGGACTTAGCAGAGAGGCCTGGCAGTCTGAACTGAACCCTACCTCAAAGTTACCTGCACCCTTGGACTAAGGACTGGGGTACTCGGTGGGAGAGGAAGCAGAGAGTGGCCACCCAGGGCTGTGGAGGTGGCAGTCATTAGGCCATGGGGGGAACCCCCAGTTTGGTGGATGTCCAAAGGAAAGGGGCCCAGAATTACCTATATTTAAGACCTCAGTTCCCCCTCACAGAG